ACAACATGACCGTGCCTCAACTGTTTTGTTGTTAAAAAACCCACCAAGCCTGTCTTCCTATCCCAATTGTGCAGATCGATGCTCACGTTGTTGATCACTGGATTCTCTAGTCCAGAGTCGATTATTTACAGACCGCCGCCAAATAGCTGGAATAGTGCCGCGTTAGACAACCAACCAACAAACCCATGAATGGCAGTGGCACTCACAACTGAAGCCTATTAATAGTGTTGCCCAAAACACAGACGCCCGTAAATACTATTGTCCTTTGTACAACATGAACATGGACCAGGTATATTTTGGAAATGGAGCTGCAGTGTACATATCGTTCAGTTACTACCATTTTAAGCATTACCCCATTGTGTGTTGCATCTGACTCCATGTATCGTCATTTTACTGCAACCAGTAGCAGAAACTGTACCGGAAGTGAGCTTCAGTACAGCCTAATCAATCATTAGAACGGATCCAATGCTAAGGTTAGATATCTTTCTAGTTCTGTTATGAATATAACGAATTATATTCTAAGCCGTTTGTATTGTATATGCGTACACGTGGTTCCGAGTGTATTTATATTTCCGCCGAACTATTTCAGTAACAACAGTTCATCTTCAGAGAGCAGTACCATACACACTCAGATCTACTGCTCCTACAAAGCGGCCTCCAAGTATTCTGCAATGATAGGCGTTGAAATTAACCACAACAGAATTCAGGACAAAGGAACAGATTTTTAATTACCCAGAGCTTCTCCGTTCACTATTATATTATTGGAATTAAAGACGTAACGGTAACGTAATGTGCCAATTGTGAAAAGAAAGTATGGTTCTGCAATGCCTAACCATAAACGGTTCATTTAACAAGGTATACAAGGGTAAATCAACACGAATGCAGTGTGTGAAAATTTAAGGGATTAGTTTCACACAGTCGCACATTCTAACAAAACAATAAATTGAAATCATGGATACCTAACACAGTGCATTTGATGCAGGTTACATGGTGACATGATCAGGTGGGAACTTCATGTTTACATTTGTGTGTTTCTGACTCAAAGGCACGGGATGGTGCACGGCCGACGTTGCCCACTACGACCTTGCAAGAAGAACTAGTGACAGTCACGCGATATCCCCCATGGAAAGTTGATGTCGATTTCCATACAAATCTGTGTGTACCATCACAGGACTATTCTCAAAAAGCTGTAATGTATTTTGATTTGTCGCCCAGCACGCATAGCAAACGGAATCTGTAATTCTTCAATTCCGCATTGAAGAGTGTTTGCTACCTAAGTACAATATGTGTCTCAGAAAGGAGGGCAGACAACTAAAAGCCCTTTGCACCATCATGACATTTTTCACAATGAACAGAAACTTAGCTGCCAATAGAATGAATAACATCTTCTGTAAAAAACTGTTTTGTTATTATTCATGTCTATAGAATATTCATTATAGTGGCAGTGGTCAGTGTATAAAGTAGTTCAAATGAAGTTAAGTCCATAATAGAGCACATGTTTGAGAGCAGCAACGAAATAAAAGATTAGTCAATTTGTCATATTCCAAGAATAATAAGTCTTTGGCATTTACATAGTGCAGTAGCTCAAATAAGAACCATTCATTAATTATGGCACTTTAACAGACTCTCAAGAGACCAAAGTGGTATGAGACTGCGCGAGGTATATATGTTACCGTCAATCTGTCAAACCAGTCATTTGACCAAATGACTGAAAATTCCAGTCATTTGGTCAAAGTACTAAAACGATCAGTCATTTGGTCAAAAGACTAAATGTTTCAGTCATTTGGTCATGTGGTCTAGTTAGACTGATTTCCTAAACAGTTTTAGTCAATCCATCAAATGCAAGGTATTTGTTTTGATGTTGTCTCAACAAAGTGGTTTTCACAGAAATCACATGGTGCACGTGGTTTCTCTTAAACAAACACTCTGTAGTATAGACAAAGGGGTAGTTAACAGCGAGTGAGTGAGTGAGTGAGTGAGTGAGTGAGTTAGACTTTAACGTCACCTCGGCAATATTTCAGCCATATAGTGACGAGAAATGTTTTACATAAACAATAAATTAAAGTTGCTAAATAATCAGTCATCGAAGGACTGTAAAATAACTAGAGTATCACAGATGGAGTCTAAAACTAGCATGAACATGTAAAACTATTTTATTTACGAAGACAATACAATATAAAAACGGGCTATAGATCGCCAACAACTGAAGGTAGATCACCATACTAGGAACCATCGGGACTTACATTACTTTTGCTACCTGCATGGACCCTAGCTGGATTTACACCATCCCTTCAGCTGTTGGCGATTGTAGGAAAATTTAACCACAAATTAAAATGACAAGAATACTACGTTTAAAAACACAGGACGTGAAAAGTTTACTTTGACAGTTTTGGGGACTTACGTACCCTCTCAGGAGGACAATAATTTTACGCTACTTCAACCCCCTTTGAGGATACAGCCACTAACAATCTAAGCTGATAATCTACACTACCAATCATTAAAACACATCTATATACAGAACATATTTATCAAAATTCATTAATTAAATCAATTTCTTTTAAAAAAGCAAGAATTAAATGAAGATGAACAGAATTAAAAAGATCCTTAACAGTTTTAACATTGAAATATTTATCCCTTATGATGGAGAATTCAACACAGTCAAGCAGGAGATGCTTGACTGTGACTCTCTCATCACAAGGGATACAAAACGGAGGATCTTCACCTTTTAACAAATATTTGTGAGTGTACCTTGTATGGCCAATACGACATCGTCGCATGATGACCTCTTCAAATCTGGACTGACAACCCAAGTAGGTGTAACCAATATAGGGTTTTATTTCATGTAATTTATTAATACCTACTTGGGTGTCCCACTTCTTCTGCATCAGATCGCGGATGTAAGTTCTAATGCTAGCTTTGTAATCAGAGTATGGAATTAGAAGTGGTGTCACAGATTTGTTGAGTGCTGCCTTGGCAGCAAGATCGGCCATTGTATTCCCATAAATGCCAACGTGGCTGGGTAACCAACAAAGACGATGTCGCATTGGCCAGTAGCAAGCTCATTATACAATTCAATAATTTCGATTAAAAGTGGATGTTTACAAGAAAGACTTTTAATAGCCTGAAGGCAAGAAAGAGAATCGGAAAATATTATGTATTGTGTATGTTTAGTGTGTCTTTGAATATATTTAAGAGCCGTTAATATGGCGTTTGCTTCTGCTGTTAAAATAGAGCTGTTATCCGGTATTCTAGAAGATATTGTTCTGGATCCAATGACAGTGGCACATGCCACCGCGCCACCATCCTTGGACCCATCTGTAAATAAGGATTTGTATGTATCATATTTAGTTTTTAACTGATTATATTCTTGTTTATATTGTAATTCATTAGTTTCAGATTTCTTAAACTTTGTCAGAGTTAGGTCAACTTCAGGCCTCACCAGTTGCCAAGGAGGAGAAGAAAGAAGACGGGTAGGAGATATATTTTGCAGCTCAATGCCGGCAGCAGAAATAAATAATATAATTCTGTGCCCAAGAGGCGGTACAAGAGAAGACTTTTTGTTGTACAAATCCTCATAAAGAGGATTGAAAACACAGTTAAATGCAGGATTAGACTCGTTAGAATAGCGTTTTGTAATATACTGTAAGGATAGTTTTATACGGCGATGGTTAAGAGATGGCTCATCGGCCTCAACATAGAGACTGTCAATGGGAGAAGTTCTGAAGGATCCAAGACAAAGTCTTAGGCCTTGGTGGTGGACAGAATCAAGTAGTTTTAAGTTGCTTTTGCAGGCTCCACCATATACGATGGAGCCATAGTCAAGTTTAGATCGGACCAGTGATCTATATAAGTGAAGGAGGGCAGTTTGGTCCCCTCCCCACTTTGAATTAGAAACTACTTTCAGTAAGTCAAGTGCCTTTAGGCATTTATTTTTTAAGTATTTAATATGTGGTAAGAAAGTCAGATGAGAATCAAAAATAAGTCCCAAGAACTTGGCCTCCTTTACAACCTTGATGGGTGTGCCATTTAAAAATAATTCTGGGTCTTTATGCGGTTTATATTTTCTACAGAAATGTATACAATTTGTTTTGGATTTAGAAAATTTAAAACTGTTTTCAAGACACCATTTATGAATTTTATTAAGACATAATTGTAACTGCCTCTCTATTGTATGCATATTTTTACCGCGACAAGAAACATTAAAATCATCCACGAAAAGTGACCCATCAACTGCATCATTTAAATCTTTAGAAAGACTATTTATTTTATTACTAAATAAAGTAACAGACAAAATACTGCCTTGTGGGACACCCTGATCCTGATTGTAATGATCAGACAGGTTTGAACCTACTCGGACTTGAAATTGCCTGTCTCTAAAGAATTGTGATATAAAATGAGGTAAACGACCTCTCAAACCGAAATCATGTAAATCCTTCAAAATGCCATACTTCCAAGTAGTATCATATGCTTTCCCCAGATCGAAGAAAATTGATACAACGTGTTGTTTATTTACAATAGCATTCTTAACATAGGATTCTAATCGTACTAAATGATCAATAGTACTTCGGTTTTTCCTGAAACCACATTGAATATCTGTGATAAGATTATTCGTTTCCAAATACCAAACTAATCTATTGTTTACCATTCGTTCCATGGTGGTAGTTAACACATACTGATAGATCGGTGCACATGGTTTCTATTGATTGAGCTTATCATCTCTTAAACAAACACTCTGTAGTAGTCAAAGAAAGTAGAGACAAATGGGTAATTAACACATACTGACTCAAAGGCTTAATCAGAATTGATTTAATTTGTTTGATCTTGACATTTTCTGGTTTCATTTTAAACACTATAAAAAAGTTTCATTTTAAACACTATAAAAATATTTTTCTCCCAATGCTTTGCACATCTGAACATTCAGTTATGGGTGATTCAATCTCTGAAACGTTCACACGGAAGCTGTATGAGAAGTATGAGGAGCTAAAGAAGGTGTTCAACCCCAAACAAAAGTACTATGCCACAATTGAAGAGCCCAAACAACTTGCCCCAGATTTGTGCCCAGAGAAAACTCTTAATTTTATCAAAAGTCAGCACTGAAACTTCAGTATCCCTTCGTACTGCTGTTGGAACCGAGTCTTTATCGGGAGGCCAGGGTTTCGTAAAGTGTAACTGTGCTGGTAGCAAGGGATGCGGAACCAAGAAATGCAAACGCTATAAGAACAATCTTCTGTGCAACAGCCGGTGTTATTCAAGTCTCACTTGTCAAAACAAGTAATGTTGAAGCTCTATGTTGAAACTGGATAAATAAAGTGTTCACTTTAATTTTTTTTGTGTTTCATTTTTTAACTTAAACGATTTAGTCATTTGGTCAAATGACTGGTCAAAAATTGTAGTCATTTGGTCAAATAAACTGGTCAAAATTTTAGTCATTTGGTCAAATGACTGAGAATTTAGTCTTTTGACCAAATGACTGAGAATTTTAGTCTTTTGACCAAATGACTGATTGTTTTAGTCATTTGACCAAATGACTGGTTTGACAGATTGACTGTAACATATACGCTGCATACAAACGGGTTCTCTCCAGAGGCATAAACCACACAGCAATAACGCTGTCATAACCCAGACCGGAATGATATAAAGTGTCACCGTTGTTGGATTCGTTTCACTGTTATTGACGAACATTTATTCTATCTCATTGTCGTATCTACATTTCGGTGTGCACATCATACAAGACCATAATAATGTGAAGTGTCTCAGAAGTTACACACTGTTCTGTGCACATTGAATATATATCTGTATTCAATCGACAACAAACCTACAGTACACCCAAAACGCTAAATCATAACTTATTTATACTTCAGATACTCATATTTACGAAGTGTGATATATGCTTGCTATGTAACAATGCATCATAAAATGGAACAGTTTCTTTTTGCAGGAGATGCTATATTTACCGATTTCTGTCTTCAACAAGTAGGAGAATAAGAAATGGAAAACATTCGAGTACATTTACATGAAAAGAAAAAGTTTTGTCCTATTTATATCATGTACATATAGGTGAGCTAACTTGACAGGTTTACTCTTTGCCTGCATTAAAACTGATGTGTTATTAATATCGTGATGAGTGCACAAAGAGCTTGTGTAAGTGTTGTTTAGTTATTGTTCCAGCTTTTACAGAAGATGGTTACGTTTCAGTCATATGAACATTTTTGATAACTTTCATAGCAACATGTTTCTGTCTTTAGAACGTGTCATCTATGCAGCTGATCGTCACTTTGAGACGCGCCAAATATTATGAATGCCAATTAAATATGTAATTGTGAAAGCATGTAAATCATTAATAATATTTAATATAAAAACATAAAAAATTACGAGCGATATCTTTTTGGCTGACTGTATTTATTTCCTAGTTTCAGTTTATTTCATCCTGTGATGGCCATATTGACCAATTCATGAAAATATATACCTTAGGTGACCTATGTACTCTTGATTGCCGCACGTCCAAAAAAAGTGTCGGCCAACCGGATAGATGAACCCTGATTCTTCCTGACACAAACAACTTCTATTGGAAATAAAAAAAACCTCTCCCATTTCCCTTTCCTGATACATACGGGCATCACAGACCGTTACCGTCTAAGTTTATGTGTTGTTTATTCGACTGGATGAATTAACATAGCTGCCGGAGAGAGACAAAATCCTATAGGGGAGAATTCTCACTTTTCTCACTTTTCCCCTTTCAGACACATTCATTTTTATTCAAAGTCCTGCCAAAATTGACGACATTAATCAGCTGAGTAAGTAGAATGTGTATGCTCTCAAGACTACTATTCCCCTTCAGTGCCTCATACATACGTAGGTACCTACCTACCTACCTACCTACACACACACACACACACACACACACACACACACACACACACACACATACATACATACATACGTCACGCCGAAGACTCTTGTTCGATTCCCCACATGGGTACAATGTGTGGATCTAATTTCTGGTGTCCCCCGCCGTGATGTTCCTCCATATTGCTAAAAGCAGCGTCAAACTCACGTACGTACAACTTATTAACCCAAACATACATACCGTAAATGTTTTCAGGTGCCTACATGCACCATTGTGTACCAGATGGGGAGTGGGCGAATTTTCATGATCCCTTATGACATCTTCAAAAAAACTTGAAATTAATAACTACAGTATATAACAATTTCGCAAGCAGCTTCAAGATCGTGATTCATTATTCTTGGTAAAGGATTCAGTGCTCGTAGCCCAAACAGGTACATGGGAATCTTCTCGCGCCGAACTTTCCCCAAGTTACCTTCATTCTTTGGAGTATAAGGTATATTGTTTACATCATGATGCACACAACATCTCTCACATACCTGTAGGAAACATGTCACCTCAACCAAGGCCATGTCATTGTTTATATTTGCAACATAAACCAATGTCTTCAGGGAACACAGAACCACAACAGGTAATCGGGTTAGAGTGGAAGTGCATAATATCAGTTATGAAAATTATTCTTGCATTTATCTAAAAATCGAAACAAAAATATTGTAATGTGTTTGTTAATGAGAACATTCTTCACCCGTATTATCCTGGTGCTAATGCATGACACATCTAATCTAATACTGTACAGATTTTGAAAGAGGAGTAAAGAATTGCAAGTGCTTAGCCATTGCAGAAGAAACGTTGTAGGCAGAATTGATATCAAACAACCACATTAGAAAAACATGATGTCAGGCGTTCATCTCGCAAACATTTCCCATATATACGATTATTCTATGCCTATGCTATGTTATGCTGAACAATGCATTTTAGACCTAAAGTTAACTTTCCATCAGCGATATTCAGTGGAGGGCGTATTTTATAGCAAGAACACCGTAGCGAATTCTGGTGATGACGTCCAGTGACATAATGCCTTCATTGTTGAAACGCAATACTGAAAATAGACAAAAAGGTATTGAACATTGATTGTGAATCAATATGTTTCATCCGATTCAGCTTTCAGTAAAAGTAAGAGGAATGCAGTAATGTTTAGATTCTTATTAATCAGAGAATGGCGATGACTTGAACAATCCCTACTCGAGAAGTCAACCACTTGTGAAGGATAGTCATGTAATCAAATTAAGCGTTTTATATGTCGGACCGACATGACCCCTCTAACTCTTTCTCACTGTCTTTTTCAGGTTTTTTGTTCGAGATCAACTGGCTTGGAAAATTGCGTGATAACTTTCACTGAGGCAAGTGTTCTGCCTGCTATGCCAACGCTAGACCCATTTCCTCCCGATCGGCATCGGCGATTGCCTTATGAATATGGAGAGAAACATTGTGACTGCCAATGAAAGATAGAAGTGTCGGTCAGAGTGGAAGTGCATACAAATTCCTTTTGGTATTTTTAGGAACATATTTGTGGTAAATGACGCCCAGGTGTGACTGTCAGATAGCACAATAAGCTGAACTTACATGTACGTCCGTCCGTGAAAATTTGTTTGCATTATCCTTCCCATCAGAATAATTAACAGCATCAAATATTTCATGACTTGATGGAAAACAAATAACTTAATTTACAAGGCTATTTTACGGCTCAACACCACTCCTTTGCGATAAAGAGATTTTGATAGGTGACAAAATATCCCGATCAAATCTCAAGATTAACCAGCTGCCGGCGTTACGAGAGCTCGCAAAGCTCGTGATGCTGCAGCCTGTTAAAATAATGCCAATATTTAGTAAGACACTATTTTGTTTTTGTACTCCCGTAATAATTAGAGTCGTTGTTCCATATCTCTTGCTTTGTTAACGCCATACTAACTACAAGCTGGTGTTTCACAATTAATAAACGTCAATAAACTGTGTCTGGTGAATAAATGACCGTGTCATCCTGTAACATGGAAGGTTGGTAGTTCGATCCCCGGTTCAATAACGCTTAGCCTCTGAAAACATTACATACTGATGGAAAAATCAAGTCAATTTGAAGTAAAAATTAAGCTCGGAGAATCATAACCAGAGTAAATGTAGATTTGCTCTATATACGACTTTCACATTGCAGATAGGTTTGAGTGGAAAATGATATAAAGAAAGGACAGTGAGACGGACTTGATCTCCGGCTGCAATACAAAAAAACGTAACCATATACTGTGCTTGTTTTCCTTTTCGGGGACAAAAGAACAGTCGAATCGCAGTTAACATGTCAAAATGCGGTACGGAATACGAGTGGACGAGAACTTTAAAACTGGTATGAGTACAATTAGTACAGACAGACAAGCACGTACGCAAGCATATACACATATGTTATACAAGTGAAAATAATGAGCCCGATACATCTCACGTTATTGTACACCTGAAACGACTTCACATAGCCTGGCTTAAGGCGCTGTTTATAATTTTATTATCTCTAATACTACTTGGACGGCTGTAACTGTGATCCTTTGATATATACTATTCTCAGTAGGCAAAATATATCGACACATTTGCTATAGTTACACGAACATACATATACTCATGCCAATAATGGTTGTCACCTCCCTACCCACCCCAACCCCACACACACCTCACACCCCCACCCCCTCTCCAATTAAAAAAATTGAAGGGGTGACAACCATTATTGCCTTGAGTATATTTGCATTCACTGTCCCTCAATCTTTACTTTCAATAAGTCGACGCACTGAAAAAATGTGTTGTATGCAAATTGTTGAATTGTCGACTGAATAGCATATGTTTGTTGTGTTTTGTCACAAATGAGACAGTTAAACACAGTGCTTTATCAAGTTCGTACAATGTTGATCACTTTATTTGTCAAAAATGTTCAAACACACAAGTCATTATATTGTAAACAGAGTCGGCAGAATGTTTGTAGTATTGAGTGAAAGTATTCCCAGAGTATTATCAGCCACCGTAAAGCAAGAACTGTTAGTAGTGATGTACTGTTAAGTAGCCGGCTTACATTCACTTTTAAGTATCGGAAATGTTGCCAGCGTACTGTACAATGTTTACTCATACACTTACTGGTTC